AATGGTTATTCAACTAATTTAAATTTGTTGTAAAAAACATCTATCAATTTAAATAGACTGCGTACATTAAAAGTGTTTATGTGGTCATTTGAATTAGATTGCTGTCCATAATCTTAATGACTACCAAATGCTGTCTTTAATGGCGCGAAGGCAGATCTGCATGGTATGGCTCTAGAAGCGATACCTTATTATATTCATTAGATCTTTAAAAACTTTTAAATTTCTACTTACTCAATTATTTCTTTGTAATTCTTCTATTGAACATTCCATATATGTATTTTAAAACAATATTATACAATATTATATTTATACAATATTATAAATAAATTTAAAATCCAATATATGAAAAAAATCAATGTAATTATATTTGATATAACGAAATATAGCATTAAATGTGGTTTTTTGTATAGACATCTGGGTTTCTGGCAATAACGAGCTTAACTTTAATAATAGTTGTTTTAAAGGATTATTAAAAAATTTTATTTTAAGCGTCTTAAATAGTATATAAAAATTATACATATATATATACAAGAATTATACATAGAATAAATAGACAAATGTATTTTTTTTAGGAATCCTTCCACAAATTTCATTCTTAAAGACGGATTTTCTTAGAATGTACCTGTAGAAAGAATAGTTTTAAGAAATATTTTGAAAATCTCTCTTTTTCACAGAAAAGGAGTGGAATTTAACAAATAATATTCATAGTAAATGTGATGAAGACACAGAATTCGTATCTTTAAAAATAAAAATTTTTAATGTTAATTTTTTCTTGCCGAGAGTGAGGCGTTTTTATGACGAAAAGAAACTACTTAATAGTTAGATGGATTCGAATAGCAAAAAAAGACAAGGACAGAAATTTTATTTAATTTGTTGAAATTTTGCTGACCAGACAATACTGTTTCGAGTATTGTCAAGTACTTAATATCAGTGGTCTTAGGAAATATTCGAATTTCTTAATTAATTTCTTAAGTAATTAGGATACTTTTCTGAAAGGATTCTGTTGTTTGTTAACTACTCCTTAAGTAATAGACCTTTTACGAAAATTTTGCGAATCATGCAAAGTGTTATGTTGGTACACTCTTTCTTGACATATGGCACAAATTTGACCGTCATCTGTCAATTAGTTTGTTTACAGCAGCTGTTAATGTGAGACAACCTCAAATGCATTGTTGTATGCGATTTTTTGACCAAACACGACACCACTTTCATCGCTCAGGCACTTGAATCGGTAAAAGAGAATTCGCTGAAGGAACTAAAAGCCATACCTTTACGGGCCTACGAAAAGTGTATGGAAGAATGGGTTAAGCGTTGGTATACCTATGTGTATCACTTCAGAAGGAGCATATTTTGAAGGAGATATAATAAATTTAAAATAAAATTTAAATTTGTGTGTTTTATTTACAAAATCCGAGTACTTTTTGGTCAGAAGGTAAATTGCTTGGACTGCAAGTGCTAAGCTTAGAACTCGTGACTGTCAAATTAGAAGGCTGCACAAACTTCCAATGCTCAAGTTCCAGGTGTTTTGTCACATTTTACTTTTTAAGTGACACTAACCTTTGTTTTGCAAAGTGTCATAAAGTAACCAAATAGCCGAATACCCACACTTTGGTTTCTTCTATCACTAAGTGATTATCACTAAAATTGTCACAAAGTAGCTGTGGGGTAGAAAAATTTAATAAGAAACTTACAGTTTTTATCAAGATTTCTTCTAAACGACATGCTATGCTCTTTTGCCACTCGAATGTTTTGACTGTGGCACCAACAAAAGACAAGTAGTGCGGGACCGTTGACAATTTCATTGTATAAATATTTTTATAACATTTTCCACTATGAGAATCGTATCCGTACGATTGTGGGCATCATGAACTTTTGTTTGAGGTTAAATACTTAGTGTTTGTGCCAATATTGCTTGAAACTAAAGACGACGTCGTAATGAAAATATTTTTGATTGCAGCTTCACAGCTTCACAGTGAAGCGAAAGGCAAAGCCATTTGTGCATGTGAGAATTGAAAATGACCTTGTGCTATCAGCGAGTGGGGAATGAAACGGAAGTGCGACAAAGTCGATGGCGAAGTCAGCAGGCGCAACGACACACGAACGAATTTTGGCATTTTAGTTCGCAGTGCCATTCGCCGCCATTGGCGGTGGATTGTTCACACTACAAAAACTTCTTATCAGTGCGACAGTAACTGGCAGTTTTGTGTGGCACAATTGATATAATGACAGTTTTGTGTGGCGTGGCCAAGTTTGACGTGGGGTCGGCTTGTTATTTCAGCTTTTGTTGAATATTTTTATTGTTAAGTTTACAAAGCACATAAGAGGTCAATAGTTAATTTTAATAAGGTTGTTTGCAAATATTGGGACATGGGGAACGATTAGTTTTTTTCAAATCAAGTTGATGTATGTGTGTATGATGGGTCATCATGGACTGCGTTATCATCTTAACAAAATGGGTCTGTCCGAAGAGATAGATTGTCGACTCTGCTTAGAAGCAGACAAGATTTCCAGTCACTTTCTCTGTGACTGCCTAGCCTTGTTCTGTGCCAGGAGGAGATCACTACTCACTTCTTCTGATATTAGGAGATCCTCAACGGCTGATATTTTGGCTTTCATTCCCAAGGCGTAGTGTGGTCTGCTCGGTTAAGGTCTGTTATAGCGCAAAAGATCAACCATGGCCGCAGTTCTTCGCTCCGTTGGAAGTTGGTACTCTATTTATTTCTATTCCATTCTATTTATGCATGATGTATGTTGCCACAGTCATAATACAATAATTAGAAAATTTTTAATTTCCTCCATTGAGAATTAAAGAAGAGCTCAACAAATACCAGTCAGAAACTATTTTTATTTTATTCAAACAAATGGGTTGATTCTTTTGTTCTTCACCGTAGTGTTTTTATTTTTTTATTGACAACTTTTGTTAACTTATTAGAGGACATCCTTCTGGGATTTGTAACACTTCCTTTTCTATTATACTTTTTCTCATTTATATTGTCTCGTCACACGAGTCCATTGTGCGCACAGTTCATAATCCCATAGTTGAGTGCGTACACAAGTGGGCGTTTAAATTCAATTTAACATGCATAAACGCCTCTGCTTATGCAATGAAAAATTAAACTATGATGTTCATCCCCTTTTTCGTTGAATTTGTTTCAATGAATATGTTTTTGGCAGTGCGTCCGCTATTTCTCTGCTGATTTTTATGTTGCCGTAATTTAACCTAATAATAAACGCATCAAGACACAATTTCGAGATTTTTGTGTGCTTTTGTAATTTGTTCTTTACAAATGGGCGGCTGGGAGTGTACCGCTTTCCTCGTGACAGTTGCGCTATTTGTGCTCATAGGCTTTGTTTGAATTTGTTTTGAGTGGTTACAAGTGTCGTAATTAATCAGACGGGAAACAGTTGCAGTGGCTGATAAACATTTGGGAAGAGTGAGAAGATTTTGAAAACAACAGCAATAAGAAGCTTAAAATTGTTTTTAAATTGAAAACTAGAAATTTGTTATAATCAGTTATATATCATAAGTTATAAACTTCAACAAATTATCACAAAATTGGATTGTATAAATTGTACATTGTATTCACTAGCGTAAGCAGTACAATTATTGACGATTTGATACTTAATCTCATAAACTAAGAAATTAAATTGCAATTAACACAATTCAATATGTTAAAGTCTTTAGGAATAAAGAAGAATCCCATTTAGGAATTCAGATTGAGGGGCAGCAGAGTAGGAGGTAAAGGACCTGGTCATTGCAAGTGCAAATTCTCATAAACTGAGAAATTAAATTGCAATTAACATAATTCAATATGTCGAATAGTTTAAGAACATAGAAGAATCCCATTTCAGAAATCGGTTTTAGGGGCAGCAGAGTAGAAGGTAAAGGACTTGGTCATTGTAAGTGCAGGGCATTTGTTGCAAGAAAAGAAATAATATCTTTAATAATGTAATAGCGCGGATTTATTTTCGAACTAACAAGTATCCTGTAAAAATATAAAATTTTCATAAGACCGTACCTGTTCCACAACCTTTCAAGATGTTGTAGAAAGGTGACACTTTTTGGAAGCAGTTAAGGCGTTCTCTAAACAATTTTACAGTTCCTGTAGTTTTACTAATATATCATTTTTATTTGATATAACTTTATGCAGTAAAGCGGATAATAAGTTTTTTGTTCTTAAATTCAAGTTTGTTTGGAGACAGTATACCATTTTCCACTTATAGCAAATTATTTTCTATAATTTTATTATAAAGATTTCGGACGTCTGCTTTAATAGTGCATTTGTGAAACTAGAAAAAGTAAGAAGTGTTTTCAAAACAGAGAGTTCTCCCATGAAATATACCGTTTCCCACTTTGAGCAATGTATTTTCTATAATTTTAGTATAAAGATTTTAGACGTCTGTTTTAATACTGTATTTGTGGAACTAGAAACGAGTAAGAAGAGTTTTTAAAGCCGAGAGTTCTCTTATGAAATCACCATTCCAGTATCTATAAAATTCGCTGGCTTATTTGCCTATTCGTTACTTTTAATATTTTTTTGACAATTAATTAAAAAAAATATATTTTTAATATATGAGTGCCTATTATTATATCACAATATAGTTAAGTTGTCGAAATTTATGCAATTAACTTCAAAAGTTATTTTATATACTTTATTGAATTTTTATTAATTTTATCACATTAAAACATGTTTAATTTTTTTTAAATACATTTTAAAGATTTTCTAATTCAAGAAAAATTAAACTTAAATATAATATAAACAAATTTCTATTCGTGTTAAATACAATACTTGTTAATTGTTTCTAAATTTTATTTTTCTATAAAAAATATTTTTACTTTCACTTAAATATAATAATTTATTAAATCAGTAATATAATTTAAGTAAAACAATTTTAAAAACAAAAACAATTTTTTTTTAATTAAAAAGGTATTTAGGACGTTTTCAATTACTTGTATTAATTTTTAATAATTTTTTACTTAAATAAAAGCACATTATAAACATACTTGATCAGACGTTTAAAAATCTTTTGTATACAATATATTCATTTTTATTAATTATATCTTCTACTATATTCAAATATATACTAAAACATCTTAGTGTTTAAACAGCATCACCGCACTTACTTCTCAAACAGCATGTTCGGCGGCACCATACCGCAATGGGGTTGGTCAAATAATATTAGGTGGCGCCGTTTGTGCACTTGTCAGTGACAAAGTTGGAGATGATTTGGCAGACTTAATGCAACCGTAAGACGATATGCCTGTACTACTACTACTGGGCGGAGAAGGAGGCGTTTCAGGACTGATCAGAGGTGTGCAACCAAAATAACGCCATGGATGGTATAAGCTGCCAGCGTACATTGCCTGTAGACGCGCTTGTAAATCCAAAGCGATTGTAGGATCTAATGGATAGTGTGAGAGTGCAGGAAAGGCATTAGGCACGCGTGGTGGCATATTCAGAGTTAATTCCAATGGTGTGCCAAAGCCGTATTTTGCACTAAGTGTAGGAGAAGCTTGTTGGTGAGCATGGTGTACACTGTTGGCATGATGATGTTGTGCACTACTCATGTGTGTTTCCTTCTGTAAACCATTTTGAGTACCGCCATTACCTGGCACTGGTGACTTGTTTAACGATTTCGGTTTGCGACGCGGTCTATACTTGTAGTCGGGATGTTCTTTCATGTGCAGTGCTCTATAAAAACAATAAAATATTACAAAAATTTTTATTAATATTATTAAATAAACTTTAAAGTAGATATCGATGGTATTTGGTACTGTGTACTGGCTTATGCATTAAATAAAAAAAGGTTTTGGCCTCGCTTTGACGATAATGCATTGATATATTTATGTTTGTATGCCCGCGAGTGCGATAATGATCAAATATTCAACCATAAAATAAAGTTTTATTTATTTAAAATTATTTTTTTAATAAAACTCATTCCTCTAGATTTGATTCATATAATATAATTCAATAAGTTTCGATTATTTAGATTACAATTGTACCTTTGCATTGTTTATTATTTTTATTATTTTTTTTATTCATGTTAAAGTATTTTGGTTTGTTTTTTGTTTGTTAGAGTCTTATAGTCTTTTATAAATTATATGTTATTCCTTACATTTCGTTATCTGAAATATTTGTAAATATTATCGCTTAAGCACACCTATTTAACAATGTATTCCCTTGTTTGACCATAAAAATTTGAAAGGGAAACTATTGTAAGACATCAAAAGACGCTTTTTGTGTTCAATTATTGTATATATTTTTTCATATTATATACACTAATATATTTGACTACCTTTTATTATTTTATTGTTGTTTTGATTATGCATTCTTATTTTTTTATTTATAAAATTATTCTTAAGTTGCGGTAATGAAATTTATTCACTTCAATCGCGTGTTTTGATATGAAACAATGAGATTAAACGCTTTTCGAATAATTTAATCATAAAACTTTTATAATATTTTATTTTCGAATTTACTGCAGTTCATACTAATTATTGACCTACTAGAAGTAAAGAGGACTATAAACAATTTATGAAAATATAAAAAGACATGCTATTGTTTCTTATCGGTAGCAGTAATTCAAATGAATTGCAAATATATTCGCCGAGTTTTTGAGATTTCAAACACTTTTATTTATTTTTGTTAGTCATATGAATCATATATTTAATTATATACAATTGATTAAAAACATAAATTTATTATATATATTTGATATTTTTAAACAATAGTTTTGTATTTGATATCGCTTATTTATTATTTCCTATGAGACAGTGCACTCACAAGATATTTGCTATTATAGTAAGTTCTTTATCAAAAAAACATAGGGTGTGTGAATAATTTTGTGCCCGATGGATCCACTTAGGTTTATTGGGTCACCGTATGTGCTACAGTATTATTAGCAACCCAAGGGCTAAAACCATTTAGAAACTTCGACAAAGCTTATGATACTATATAGAGGGAGGTCCTGAAGTTCGCCAAGATTCTCAAAAAAGAAAGCCTCAAAAGTGTTAAGGCGGCTCTGCACATGCCGGACAAAAGCAAAGCAGATAAGAGGCACTTTCATCGTCATCGTCACAACTGGGGCAGATATGGTTGAAAGGGAGATTTGGTCTCCTAGTTTGCCAAGATCCTCAAAAAAGAAAGCCCCTAAAGTGTTAAAGCACATGTGCCGGACAGAAGCAAAGCAGGTGAGAGATACTTTCATCATGTCACAACTGCGGTAGATATGGTTGAAAGGGAGATTTGGTCTCCTAGCTTGGTTAACTAAAATGCAATGACCTGTAAGTAAACCAACTGCAAGACTGATATCTCTACGGGGCATCTCGATGAGAGAGTTTGGTTTCCTTTTATTGCTGTGTGTGGCAAAATTGCATACAGATGCCTGCACAACGTTGAGTCTTCCCATCTTTTAATAAAAAATTCGTCACAGGAAGAACTCAATACCAATTTGCATGATCTCAACGATTTACCCAGATTGTATAGGTGTTCTGAGTGGTTTCATGAAACACCCCGTGTTGCTAGCTTGTCTGCTTTGCAATTGCCGAAAATATCCCCCTGACCGGGAACCCAGATTAGAGAAACATCAAACTGTGTCGACATATCATTTAGAGATGTGTAGCAGTCAAAGACAGTCCTAGATGTGGACTGAGCTCAAGGGCTTTAAAGCAGCTTGACTACCCGATAGTATGTATATATTTCTTTCAAGTATATTATCTATTTTTAGACAAGCTAGAGTTTTCTTTATGGCAGTCACTTCTGCCTGAAAAATACTGTTCTGAAAGTTAATAATTATAGGATATATTCAGCCCTTTTAAGTAAATTCCACTTCCTAACTCATTCCTAGTTCTCGAAAAATGGTTAGACTATCATCCAAGGAGTGCCCAAGTAAAAAGCTGCAGCTTCAGCAGTTTAATAATCTTTCAAAATATAATATTAAAATTGTAAGCTCGTTGTACTTCATACATACATTTAAACATAGATGTATTGACTTTTTATAACAAGTGAACTATACACAATCATATATAACAGCAAAAGTAAAATAATGGATGGCTGACTTCTGAACGGCCAAAAAGTGCCACCCGTGATAAAAATATCGAAAAGTGATATTAGATGATCATGGAATAAAAATCGCAAACATTCTTACATTTTGCAAGTATTGCGTAAAGCATTAGAAAGCTCAGTGCATTTGGTGACGTTGAGTTTACACTACAAATGCATCGGTTGAAACATTTTTAAGACCGGATTCACCGTTTGCAGAACAGTTGCCGAAATATTTATCCACTTCTGACTCAAAAAACAATTAAAACAGTGGTGAATAAGGTGAAAGGGTTCCGTAGAAGGTGAAGACTGTGGTGTTGATCAGGAACGTTAAGCCTATTATACTAGTAAGGGCTAGAGAATGTTGCCAATTTACTACACAGAAAATATTACAAAACAACTGTTGTAATAACAACTAAGCAATTATACTAATTTAGATAAATTAGAAGTCATTACTACTACAGAAACTCGGACGTATTTTCAAAAAACATTAATATTTATCATCAGTAGTCGCCATATTATTCCCCAAATTTAGAATGAAGTACTAATATTTGGTTGTCAAAGTTGATTGTTTAGCTTAGAGACTAAAAATACTAATCAAATAAGAAGATGATTTGATATCCGTCGTGAATTGATATTCACGAAAACGTTAAGATGATGCACTATTTAACGAGTTTAATGAAATTGAGTTTAATTATTGGACAAATTGTGTATTGCATCAAGAAGGCATTATTTTTAAAAACAAAAAAAAATTTATCAATGCTAATTCCTAATAAAAAGCTTTTATTTTCCGGTTGGAAATTAACAACCAAAAAGCATGTTCAAAGGAACGAATTGTAAGGAGAGATCTAAGATAGTACCCAGAAAATTAAATTAAAATTTCAATTTAAATGGATGTACGATTATTTAATAGTGATATATCTAACATATGCGTAAAATATTGTCCAGAAAGTAATACGTTCTGTAAAATCACCAAAGTAAGTGGAGTAGACAGAATTTTGTCAATTAGTGATTAAGTTTGTTTAAAAACCCATTATTAGCAAATAAAAAATTTTTTTAAAAGATTTTTGACCAAGGATAGATGATCTTGAAGAAAAATTAGAGAATATATATATGTCCGAGCAAACTAAAAATATTATTACAAAATATGTGAACACAAGTTTTGTTAGGATGAGGAATACTGAATCTTGTAATTTCAAAGTAAGCTATTTTCATTTAAATTATTTAGTTCATTATTTTATTACTTAATCCACAACTTATAGTATTCTATAAAGCACGTATTCTCATACAATATTAATTTTTTAGTCAGTAACTTAGTATATAGTAAAAAGTTATGCATAAAAATACACAATTAGAGTTACTGTTATTCTTAAGATAACCTCTTTTAGTATTAGGTACATGTTATATATAGGTTTCAGATAGATCTCAGTCTTGTTTATCAGAATCTCAGTTTTCTTACTCTACGCTTCATGTTGGTTCAATAGTACTACATGTTGGTTTTCATATCTTTTTTACCACATGAGCTAAAATTGTTTTAACAAAATCATCAGATCATTTTAACAATTATGTGATTAGGTCTTATTTTTCTGAGTGTATGCGCTAACCATGCTTCAAATTTGTAGGTTGACAAAGCGCGTGTTCATGCTCCCATCAACATTTTCACTTGAAAACAAATATTGCTCATTGGCCGTTGATGGAGTGACATCAGCCAGGAAAATGGAATAATGACTTAATATAATAAATGGGTGGAAGATATGCCTCATGGCAAGACAAGAGCTGATAACGAAAATTTGAGTATATTTAGCTGGCAGCCACTATTAATTGGGACTAATTATTAATACTCGTATTTATATAGAATGAAGTAAAAATTAATAAACAAGAATGAATAACATTTTTATATATACAGTAAAAAATTCCATAACTCAAACTTCTGTAACTCGAATTTTCTATAACTCGAACTAAATAGAGTGCAACAGGGTTTAGAAAGTAAATTACATACAATTACTAACCATTTCCTTGCTAAATGGTACTTTGAGTTATGGAAGTTTGACTGTATTATCTTCATAAACGTTATTACAATTATGGCAATACTGATCTGGAGAAACAAATGGCTATATGTTAGATAGGTCATACGTCTCTTTCATAATGATAATCATAATGAAAATGTAACTGGCAAACCACTCAATGTGGAGCAATTTATAGACGAATTCACACCGAATGTCAGCAGTATGGATCATAGTAGTAGATTTAGCACTGAGTAATTTTTCAGTAGCGCTATGGCGCAACATAAGATGATAATTATAAAATGTATTATATTTTCAAGAGGTAAATAATAAAACCTGTATTTAAAAGTGTTTACCTAATGTATATATATAAGGTCAAAAATATACATTAAGGCCATGTTATGTAGAGTGTTATGGGCATATAGCGCTGATTTTGTACTTTAATGAAAATGAAAATACATAAGCTATATTTAAATTTGTAAATTATTTATAAAAATCCGTTTATTTTAATTCAGTCAGAAAGTTGAAATTTATCTAAAGAAAATATTTTTCTATCTAATTTTACAAATTTTGTGTTGTCAATATAATTTAAATTGTAACTCAGCTTACTGTGATTAAATATTGACAGCCACATTATTCCCCCTTTCGAAAAACAACCTTGCGATCGTAACGCGAAGTGTATAACTTCTGGTCATGCTTATGAGTAACTGAAGGCTTAATCTCTTGTTCCTTAACATATTACTCACTGAAGGCTGCTTTGAGGCGATCCACCGAGATGTTCGCTTTTCTTCCCTTAATATCCACGACAAAATACTTATTACTTAAGTACAGTGAACAGACCTTCGTATGGAGCTTGTAGTGGTTTACAAATCATGGAATTTCTGACGAAAACCTGATCCGAGGAATAAAGAGCTTTTTCAATGAAAACCTTTCCACTAGAATGATGAAAGAACTCACAAAGCAGAAAAGTTCATTTGAAAAAAAGTGTTTGAGAATTAAGATTTTTTCAAATTGCTAGTTGTTAATATACGAGTACAATAGTCTATTAACAGTTATTAGTCAATGGTCTGGTTGGTTGATTGGTTGCAGATAACTTCCATGTACCTCAATTAGCGATTTTTCGCCGTTTTGCTACCATATTCCTCGCAAGAACCCTTGTATAGAAGATTGGAGACTAAATCTATTTCGCCGAATTTAGATAATTTAATAGGTCTTTCGTCTTCACTGATGAATAGTCTGAATAACCATCAAAGAAGTATCTTTCTAAAAACCTATTTCTTCTGCACACCAAAGTCATTCACAGAAAAAATGTATTAATGTTTCTTTTTCCTGCGGGTTTTCACAACTTCTACAGTGAGGATTATGGGGAGTGTGCAGTTTCTCTGCGTGGTTTTTTAAACACGAATGACCAAAAAGAACTGCAGTAAGCCTTGCAGTATTCTCGCAGTCTCTTTTAATGAGTTCCGAGGATCTATTTTTATTTTAGGCGGAAGTCATGTTAACCTGGAAGTTGCACATGACTTCAGTCAATGGTCAGTTTTAAATAACCAGAAAAAATTTAAATTTTTGGTTTACGGAATACGTTTTCTATAGTAAAACATAAACGTATATTGTAAAATTTATTTAGATTGATGAATTTATTCATATACATATTTGTATATGCAAGTATATATAAAATATTTACGTTGAATAAATGCTAAAAAAAAATTATTAAATATTTTATTACAAATATTTTATTATTTAAAAATTTTTTTTATTTATTTAATTTGTTTATTTTATTATTATGTTATCAATAAATTCGAAAGTCAATAAAGCAAAATTGTTCCACATAAATGAATCTATAGTACCAATTTGAGCTAACCTATTTCAATATGAAGCAAAGTTTAAATTAATTGTTGGTAATTTTGGTAATTAATACATGTCAAAGATTTTTAACATTTTAAGACCCGCCCTAATGAATTAGCAATTGATATTTAGACCATAAGTCTTAGGTAAGAACTAATAATCAATAAAAGGATTATGACAGCTAAAATAAAATATCTGTAAACATATTAAATGAAGCGACTAACTTACGCCCCCGAAAAATATTTGTAATTAAAATGTTTACACAACCAAAATTTTAAACAAATATTAAATAAAAAAAAAAATAAAACAAATTTTTTTGTTTCCCTAGTTTTTAATCATTTTTAGTGATAACCCAAGAAAGCTTCTAAGTGCAGGGGAGCGAAGTGCTGAGGGTCTTGAATTTAATTGTTTCTAAATAAAAACTAATTTTTCTTACGAAATTGAAGTGTTGACTTAAGATATGAGTTCAATGAAAAAGAGAGAAACTGTTCAGAAATAAAATAATTTGAATAGGGGAATTCGCAACAATAGACCTCATTGTTCTCTACTAAAAATATCTACAGACAATAAAAGTAGAACAATCGTCATTCACAAAAAAGCAGTAAAGCCAATAACAAACAAACGAAATCCAACTAAACTCACCGTAATCGCTTTGCCTCATCAATGAATGGTCGCTTTTGTCCTTCGGTTAGCAATTTCCACTCGGCGCCTAGACGTTTCGATATCTCAGAGTTGTGCATTTTTGGATTATCCTGCGCCATTTTGCGTCGTTGCCCTCGTGACCATACCATAAAAGCATTCATTGGACGCTTGATGTGGTCGTTCTGGTGATGGTGTGACGCATTATGATGTGTGACATTTTGATGATGAGCATGCTGATGAGCATGCTGATGATGCTGATTGTGTGAGCTGCTGGAATTTGCTATTGTGGAATTGTTGCCCATGTTGGCGGATGTGATGGCGTTGGAGTTTGTTTGTTTCAATGGTGAACTCATATTGAGCACAACTGAACTGGCTAATTGCGTTGGCGATGAGGAATTACTGCTGCTGCTGTTGCTAATGCTGTGATTTTGATGTTGTAGAATTGCCGAAATGCTCGTCATTATGCACGTTTCGCGCTTGTGTTGAAATGTTGTTGTGTTGGCGGAATGAGTCCTTTTTGTTAAAGTTTAAATAGAATTTACTGACTTTTTCTGGTACTTGTTGTCCGTCGTTTGTGTTCAGATTATGCCGGGGTTATTTACAATTTTATTATCGGTGGGTGCGTCAATTCTTTTTTTTTTGTTTATCAGAATGATTATATTCTGAAACTTCCAAATGAAGTCTGTATGTTTTGTTAAATGTTTGTTCTTTCTTCGAATTCTTTAATAATCTGTAAATTTAAAAGAATAATTTAAAGCATTTTTTTTAAATATGAAAAAATTTGATTATTATTATAGTTATACATAGATATATAATTATAGATTATTTTTATATATTATTATTTCTAACAAACAACAAAAAATTTTCTAACAAAAAATATAGTTAAACTTGAATTAGTTACATTTATATAATAATATTGTTTCTAATTTTTGGCTTGTTTTTAAACAACTTGTTATACTTTAGACTTATTGTAGTGCATATTTTACTTTTATTTTTTACTTATTTTTATTTTCAATATTAGTCGTAATTTTTTCTTTCAGAGTAACAAAAAAATACTCCCAAATTATGAAAAGAAACATTTATAGCAATAACAATGCTCTTAAAATCTTCAGAGTTAGGTTTGACTCGTAAAAATTTTTACGTTTTAAGTTTTAGTGCAGCTAAATTCAAAAATAAATCTTTTGTTAATGTTCATGGAAATATGTTGCAAATAGCCAGTCATCCGTTAGAGTCATATGAGTATTTCATTTACTAATAAATACAAATACATGAATAAATAAATAATTTTAACTATATATAACAAGAATGTTAAACATTGTGCTTTATCATTTTCATTTCTTTTATTTAAAGTAATTAATTTTTATATATCATATTTTACACAACATAACGAAAATCATATGTCAAACGGCATTTAATATATTTTGAAAATGATGTCAATTTATTTCAACCAGACTTAATGCTATTTTTTTACAACTCTAAAAGAAAAATTACGGCTATTATAAACAATTCTTATAAGGCAAAAGTTAATCATGATCTTGAAATCTATATTTAATAGTTATTCATACGACATTTTTACTTAATTTATCGGCAAAAAACTTTTGGGAATAATTGCTGTTAAAGACCAATGCGCTACACATATAATCCAACGATATCTTTCATAAATCGATTTCAAATAAATAAATTATAAATATAAAATAAAAAAGCAACAATTCAACGTAGATCAGCTTTTAATAAAGATTAACATGTTGCCAAATAATTTATATCAAATCATTAAAATGTATTTTAACTCATATTAACAACTATTGGATAGTTTCCATTTATTATTATTATTATGTTGGGTGCATTCATGATTCACATGTTATCTGCAGCACTATGACCAATTTTTTTTTTTTAAATTTTTTATAAGGCTTCGGATATACATTTCTAATAGTTCTTGAAAGTAATTGAAGAAAACTAGTCTAACTTCTTGCATATTTAAATTGCAAGAAGTCAAAATAACAAAATAATATTATATTTCGTTTACATTGTATAATATTATCATCTATTAACTTTATACTTAAAACTAAATAGACATAAAGATGTCGGTTTTCGTTAAAGTTCTGCACATAGAAACATTTGAAATTAATATATATGTATGGTAAGAAAAAACTACTTCAAATAGGTGGTTATTACATCGGTATTTAAAAACATGACACTATAATTTTTTAACTGAAAGGATAATAAAATTTTTGAGAAAGTATCCTATTTAAGGAGAATATTATAAAGAATATTAAGTAAAATTTGATTTACAATGCAAACTTTTGAAAAAAAAAATATTTTTAATAAATATTAAGCATTTGCATAATCTATAAATATTTTTAATACATTTTATATATAATAGGTATATACAATATACAGATATTATATCTGCATATATATAATGCCTTATACGTTATAATATAATAATAGTATAATAATTAATTACTCAAAATATTTACTCAAATTATTACTCAAAATATTGACTTCAATATACTAATGATTTATTTATATTTAACCGCATTATAATTAAAAACTATAGATAGAACTATTCATTAATTTACCATATGATATTATGTTAGTAGTATGAAGCTTCGGTTCATCAACAAACATTGGATCAGATAAACTGGAGTTATGACCAAAAAGATGACTTTAAGAAAATTAGCAGATATCAGATGAAACAGATGAAATTTAGAAATAAATAAACACTTACTTAATGTCTATACTAATGCCACATCTTATTAGCAAATAAATATTACTATCCCAATATAAGATTATTATATCAATGTTGAGCAAGAACTGAATCCAAAATTTAATCCAAAAAATTAGGTGTCAATATATATCCATTTGACGAATACTGAAAATTCTACATCATTGAAGGGAAAGTCGAATAAAAAATATATTTTGATCACTAATTAAAATACATATATCATATTTAAGAAAAAGAATAATTGATAGAATTATACAAGACTTTTAAACGATTAGCATAAAAAAAATTAATGCTAATCATTTATTTAATCATGGCTTAAGTTACCATGATGATAATAAAGATAAATCTATTTTTTATTGATTGATAAGATACTCCTTTACTAAAATATGCATATTTTTATATTGAACACAATTATCAACAACGAGTTCTTTACAGCTTTTGTGTAATCGGAAAAATTAGTTATAAAACTTAAGTTTGATTTAATTGATATTAATTTTATATATTGTGAATTGAAATGTTATTAAATGTTTTTATTACTAATAAATAATAGAAATCTCATTTTTAATTGTTAAAAATATTAATATGTTTATGTCAAAATAATCATTGCAATCAATCATAAATCAGATACTGGTTGACCGTATGTATATTTCGACTATATAATTTAAAGTATAAAATAAAACAAAAAATTAACAGATTTTGACTAGATTTAAGAATACATAAATAATTAATGTAGTTAAGCTATCAGGAATATGTTTTAACAATATCTGAACTCAAACCAAACCTTCCAGAAAAAATAGATTAGAATACATTTAATACATGCTTCAACGCTTATGATTGAAATTTGAATCAGGAATGCATTGCAAAACTTAGTAAATTATTAGGAGGGAATACTACGAATAAGAGGGAAATACTAGAGGTTAATTAAAAACGTCCATAGAATTAATGTCGAATACAGCTTTAACTTTATCTATTTAGGTATGTATTATGTTATTGAAAAAATAACCTGTATTAATTAAAACTAAAAATTTTTTAAAAACTAATAAAACTCGAAATCATTAATTTTTTATATTTTCAAGCATTTTATTATTATTATTAGAAATTAATTCAATTTTAAAATTTATTATTATTTTGGTTTTGTTTTGATAAAAAAAAAGTGTGATGCTAGCATTTTAATAATTATTTGCTTTATTTATAATATATATATATAATATACATAGGTGGATATTAATACTAGCTTTGATGACAATATGAAGTTTTGATTAAAAAGTATGGCATATATTCCTTATATTCAAATTTGTAGTTTTTTTTTGACCGAAGGTTTAGTAAGATTTAAAAAAAAACATATCGAAACTTTTACTGTTTAAATTAGTTTATTTTCTTCTGACGATTTAAATAAAAGATAAAATTTTAATTAATTTTTGTGCCATATTTGGACATTAATATGCTTTTTGACAAATGTGTTATTAAATATTAATTTGCTCAGTTTATAGAAAAATATAAAAAGTAACAGAAAAATTACTCGATTTATTGTATGTTAAGAATAACTTTATAAATCTTGTTACTGTTAATTAAATGTAAAATTATAAGATAAATTAATTAAACTCAATTAGTTGACTAGTTTTATTATTTGGCTTTTATATTTTAAGATATAACATGTTATATATTTTATATAAAAAATCAAAAAAACGTTTGTAAAAAACTTAATGTTATACATATATTTTTTTTGTGATTGAATATTAAGTACTACCTTTTTTTTAAATTGAACTCAATAGTTTTAATATTATTGAATGGGTAATTATAGTAATCTATAAACTGACAAAATTTTCGCGTCATTTTAATAATAAACGTAAATTTTTCATTCTTATTATTTATAAGATAAAATTTTTTAACATTAGTATTGCAATCAAATATTGTTTCCATTTTTTTATGGTTCTATATAAAATATTGCCAAATTTTATATATAGATTAATTAAATAAAATAAATAATAAAGTGAATGTGATAAACTTTTTATTAAACAACTAAAAAGCTTTTTTAAATAACAAAAAAAAATTTTATATATTTATATTAAAACCACAGTTTTGAGAAACCCTCACTATTCTTAATGTCGCAATGGAGGCAACAATTTTCTTTTAATTAGACCGCGAACCACATTGACTGCATAATAGCGCTGCAGCAAAGAAGCTATTGACAAGTAATAAACCTGACCTCAGGACACACAGTTCCTAATAGGGATACAACAATTTTAAACATGTCTCTAATTACAAAGCAATTACAATACAATTTTACCGATATTTGAGTAATACATAAATTAGTTATGAAGGGTTTGTTAATAATTTCATTAGAAAATATATAAAATTTTTAAATATTATAACAAAAAATGTAATCACATATAATAATTTGAAGTATGTATAAGAAACTCACATTGTTAATAATGTTAGTCATTATAATTATATGAAATAGTTGAGGTTAAATTAATCCTAAATTTATTTCTACTATATATGTAGAAATAAAAAGTTTGAAATAAATAATATATCTGATTTTTATTATATGGTTTGGTTAATATTGTAAATAAAATATTACAAAATAAATTGTTAAATTTCAATGAATGAATAATGAATGAATAATAGATAATAGTTGTGAAACTCATTTTTAAATTTAGGACTCAATTATTTACGATTACTAAAAGAGTAAATTTATATTTATATATATAAATTGCGCTTCAAATTTGGCAGGACCCCAGTTCGATTCTTGGTACTTGCTGTATCAAAAAATTATTTGCGAAAAATTGAATACAAGAATTATTTTCAAGACCAATGATGATGGGTATTTGGCAATTCTCGAAACAGCTGAAGGTCAGCCAAAAATTCAATTAATTAAAATAATATAAAATCAATTTTTGTTGTTGTTGTTGTTTGAAAATCCTCTTTATAAAAAATAAATTTATATACAATAAATATAAATAAATTATATAAATT